AGGGGAGGGGCAGAGATACAGAGAGACACAGAATCCGAAGCAGGCTCCGGGCTCTGAGTTGTCAGCACAGAGCCCCATGCGGGGCTCGAACCCATGGACCATGAGATCATGACCCGAGCCGAAGTTGGACGCTTAACCGACTGAGCCACCCAGGCGCCCAGAAAAAAACCTTTTTTAAAAACTAAGAGTTGAGGTCCAGTGGATAGAGGGGACAGATGTGTCACAAAGCAAAAAGCAAAGTGCTTACAATAAAATCTAGGTAGTGAGTACATGGATGTTCCCTGTAAAATTCTCTCCTTTTTTCTGAACGTTTGAAAACTTTCACAGTAGAATGTTGGTGGGGGCGGGAATATCCGAGAGCCCTTCTGTGGTCTGGGAAGGGAGGAGAAGAGGACGTCTGTAACATGATGGCACGTTTACAGAGTGCCTACCATGGGCGGAGCACTTGTCCAGACACGGGGTTGTTACTCAACTGCTCCGCGTCTGTATTATGGCAGCACCGGTTGTCAAAATCTGAAGTGTTCCTGTACCGCTTGGTAAATAGCTGTTGGTTTGGGTCCTCCCCTTGTCCCCTCCCCACCAGGACACACGGGCCTTCCTTCTGGGATCCCCACATCTCCCCACCAGCCAGCCGCTAAAGAACTGACACCTGGCACAGCGAGGGGCTTTGGGCCCATTCTGATCGGTCAGGGTCTCTGCTATATCGTGAATATTACCCTTGGATTGGAGCAGCCTTGAACTTTACCTTCCTCCCTGCCAGAGGCCAGACCATGGCTTGCTGGCCTCCCGCATCCTGAGGATGGCCCAGCCGGAGGACAAGGCCTCTGCAGGCCTCATCGACGGGGAGAGGTGAGAGCTGCGGGGGCTGGGGTCTCCAACTCCTGCCCCCGGATTCAGAAGGCCCTTCCAGCCATCCAATGCCCACACCCCCCATAGGACCCTGAATCTCATCTCGCCCCTGGGCTGCCCCTTGCCCCCTGCACCTTGGACCCCACCTTAGTGTCCAACTGCCCATCTCTAACCTCTGGTCTCCTGGACCCTGCACGTCCCAGGATGGTTCCACCACAGGTGAATGGAGCAGGTGAGACCCCCTTAGGGGTCCTTGGGACCCCAGAGCCACTCCTTCGCCTGCAGAGGACACGGGGGGTGTGGCAGATCCCAGAGCTGGCTACTCAGGATGCGGGAGCCCTTCTTGAGCTGTGGCCACCGGGGGTGAGTACTCACAGCCAGGGACCCTCTCTGACCCTCCCCATGACACCGTGGGTCAGTCAGGACTCCGCTGCTTGCTGGTGACAAACAGCACAAGCCGGGAAAACCAAAAAAGGCCACTTACTGAAAAGTAAGTGGGTTGAAAACCCCGGAAGAAAGGGAATTTCAGCAATGTCTGGATCCTGAGCATTAGACGACTTATAAAGTTCTCTTCATCCCATGTCTTGGCTTGGCTTAAAAAAATTTTTTTAACGTTTACTTATTTCTGAGACAGAGAGAGAGCATGAGTGGAGGAGGGGCAGAGAGAGCCGTCAGCGCAGAGGCCGACGCGGGGCTCGAACTCACAAACCGTGAGATCGTGACCCGAGCCGAAGTCGGTCGCTCAACCAACTGAGCCACCCAGGCACCCCTTGGCTTTGCTTTAAACTGTGCGGAAAGCCGACCGTTTGGGGTTTTGAGGAACAAACACTCGATCCACACAGTAGCTTAGGCAAATAGGCACTGCTCTTTGTACCAGAAAGGCAGCTGCAGGCTCTAGTTTAGCAGCTCGGGACATCAAGGCCAGCTTTTGCAATTCTCTTGGACTTCCTCCGTGGTTGCCCAGTGGCTGCCCCGGGTCCAAGCACGTGTGTGAGCTCCAGGCAGGAGGAAGACGAGAAAGGAAGCGCCTGTTAAAAGAAACAGGAATACCAAAAGCCTTCACAATTGATTCAAAACATACAGAGGGGGGCCCCCGGGTAGCAATACATTGTTTAAAGCTCCCCTGGGGGTTATAAAACCCGAGGTGAGAAACACCACCTACGTCATTATCCGTCTTCTACGGCTGGGCAGATGAGGCCCTCACAACCCTGCAGTTCTGCAAGGGACAGGGAACGGATTAGGATAAGGCAACTAGGGCCTACACAGCTTCCTTCTCGAGGGGGCTCCCTCCTTGTGGTGGCAGAGATGGCTGTCCCCAGCTCAGGGCCACATCTCACAAGCTTAGCAATCCCAGTGTGAAAAGAGTCCTTGTGCCGAAGACCTCCAGCAAAAACCTCGTGGAAGATTTCCTTTGGCTGGGCCTGATTCACATGCCCATCTCTGAACCAATCACAGTGGTTAGAAAGCACTGTCATCCTATTGGCTAGGTCAGGTCACAGACCACCCCTAGGGCTTGGACAGAGTTAGTCCCACCCATGGGCACTAAGGGAGGAAGTGGGTTTCTCTAAAGGAAATTTGGCCAGTGGAACCCAACATAAGGGAAATGGGATGCTGGGCAGGCAAAAGTAACAGACATCAGCACAAATCCTCTCCAAGATGACCTTTGCCTCCACCCCCACCCCCGAACCAGAGTTTCCTGGTCACAGGACACAACTCCAGCCAGGTCCTGGTGTTGAGGACAGGAGCTTCACCAGGAGAAGTCTGCACCTACCAGATCCAGAAGCTTCCTGGAGGTAAGGAGCCTACTCCTGAGTTTCCAGTCCACAGCAAATTTGGTGAGCTTTGCTTCCAAAATAATCTCCCAAATCCTATTTGGTGGCATAAGTGGGATGCAAGCCTAAAGACACAGGAAAAGATGGGGACTTCAAGGGGTAGAAATTTCCCTGTGTTGAAGGGCTGTTGGGGGACTGCAGAACTGAGGAAGAGAGAGTCCCAGGGAAGATGAGGCTGCCACCCTTCAACTTTTCTTCCTTGCCCTTTGTTGCCCCCAACCCTCAGGTGTTTCTCTGGAATACTCTAACCTCTGTATGCCGGACCTGCCCCATCTCCTGGCTTTCCTATCAGCCAGCAGGTACAGGTTACCCGTCAAAAGGGCTAAGGGGGATCCAACTCTAAGGCATCCCACCCACTGCAGCTTCCCATTATCTTTTCTCAGGGATGTTTTGCCCAGAACACTGCTCTTGCCCCCTCCCACTCTAAGGCCAGGAGACCAACAAACAGGTGAGAGGCCACCTTCCAGCCTCCTTGGTCCAGAAGGATGGCACTTCAGGAACCAGACTTCTGTGTTTGAGGGAAGATAGAATGGGGGTCTGAGAGAGCTGTGGGAGGCTCGACTCCTGGGCCTGAGTGACAAGGGACCAGGGACGAAGCCTCAGCTCCTTCGGTAATGAGGCTGGGCATTAATTCTCCTGGTACCCTGAAGGAACCAGGCCTGGCGCCTGGGACATCTGGGACACCTCGGTTGTGCTGGCTCCCAGGTCTTCCACAGACCGGCGGCGTCCAACTCAACATCTCGGAGAAGGTGCTCCCCGTGGTGAACAAGCTGTACCTGGAGACCCATGGAGGGTGGGGTTTGGAGCAGATCACCGCAGAGACACCTCCAGGGACTGCAGAAAGCCACAGTTCAGGTTAGCTGGGTGGGGCAGGGCCCTGGGCCCTTGAAGGATGAGGGAGCTATTGCCGCTGTTCTGCGGGACCCGACCCTCTCCTCACATCCAGCCCCCAGGAACCCTGCCCCTCACCGGGTCTCCTGGGTCGAAGGCCCGCTCAGCCCAGAAGGATACCATCCTGGGCCAACCCTAGCCAGCCTGGTGGAGGAGAAAGAGAAGGAGGACGAGGACGAGGACGAGGACAGCTACAAAGATGAAGAGAAAGGACCTGACGATGTTCTCACCCATCACATCCAGGCTCTGGCCAGGGCCCGGAGCAACTACGTGGGCAGGCAGTTCCAGGGCCTTCGAGCCCGCCTCACCTCAAATGCTGGAGGGCCCCACAGGCCCGGGGACCCAGCCACAGAGCTGCTTCAGGATGTGCGGCACCTCCTTACCGACCTCCAGGATCACTTGTCAAAGGACCCCGACGTCAGGGCTGTCTTTGGGAGCCGGGGGCCTGGGGTCCCCCAGAAGGAGGAGGATCTTGGTAATAAGGAGGACTGGGAGGGAATTTATGGCCAATGCCCCGACCCACTCGGGTTCTCGTTTGCCATCTCCGGGCCTTACGTGTGTGTTTCACACCCAACGTCTTTCTCTCCATCCGTGTGCACCTGTTTGCTTTTCCACTCACGTGCTTTTCCCTCCCTACGGGAACATCTCTCACGTGGGCGACAGCCATACTCCACACCCAGGCTCCCTCTTGCACACGTGTTCCCACCCATGTCTACACTTGTGGGCGGCCAGAAGCCAGGGAGGGCTGGGGGGCGGGGGG